TTCATACTCTAGATATGAAGATTAAAAGTCAGAATACCGCTCTATTCAGGGTTAAATTAATAATTATTTAAATATTTATTAAATACAAGCTTTTGGAATAAATTCATGACCATATCATTACAATTTAATTGCATACAAAAGATTTAACTTCTATATAATATGCTGATCAATAATTATATCAAAACTAAGAGATAATCAAATATCAATAGAATTAAAATTTTAAGTTTATCTTATAACATCAATTGAATAATTCCATTATAAATATATAACTTTTTCATAATTACCTGATGAACCAAAGAGAGTTGAATTTAGCATTTACTTAAAGACTTTTTTCATTGGTATTCTATCTTATTAATTCCTAAAATAAGGAGAAATTATTTTTTAAAATATCTACATATAGCTAAGGAGGTAATGTCTATAAAGAGTATTATAAGGGATTGAATTTAGCATTTACTTTATGTAATGTTTGACTGATAAAGGAATAATTAGTTATTTAAAAACGACTTAGGTTGTATGATAATGAACGAAATCATATCATGCTTAGATATCAATTTTTAATTCATAATATAATAATGCTAATTATTATCGATATCTAATTATGGGAGTTACTAACATTATGAAAAGATAATACAATCATGTCTCTATTAAACTAAAAAAAGTGATTCTATCAGGACTCCACTTAAAATTGTAATTAGAATTTAAAAACGCTAAATCTTAACATTTTGATATTCTGAAAAATGCAGAATAACCCATTTGAAATGACGCGAGATATTATCCGTGTTTTTTGTGCTAAGAGCTCAATGCACTTTACGATAATCAAAAACCAACTATTTGAAATTGACTATATCTATAATATACTCATATCAACCTATTTAGATGAGGTAAGATTCCATGAATGTTGAGTAATAATAAACGAAAAGATGTTATATCATTAGAGGATAGTTCTTATTATTTCTAGGATAAATTTATTTGAAACCTATGAATCCATACCGAAACTATGCGCCTCGTGCTCTAAGATAATCTTCAACTTATCAAACTTAACCACTTCGAAGGAATATGAGAAAATACAGCCGGAGTTTGATTTTTACGCTGAATCTATTTTTAATTCAATCCTGATTCTACATTAGAGGTCAGTTATTAAATCTCATCTTGTTATGTCGATCATCCTCACAACCTGGATGTTTACTATAACTTCCATGATGCTATCAACATCAATTGTAGCAATTAGGCATTTCACCTTTAGACCAGCTGCATCTATCATCATTCTTCCCTCACTTCAGTTCACTCCTTTACTACTTACATCATCACAATCTATAGATTCCAAGCTTCTTAAGTTTTACTTAGAAGTCACCGGATCTAAATGTTTACCCCCACTCCCACACAAATTACGAAATTATCTCATTTGTCATCACTTCTTCAGTGTGTTTTTTAGTCCTTTCTGTAGCCATTTTCTTACCCTTCTGAAAGCATCCAGAGCAATAGCCTTAGACTCAAATCGAAGTTTCCGAGTATCACTTACAACTTCAAATACAAGTTATTTTATTTAATCAATTTTAATTATTCTACATATACTAAATCATATAATTTAACAAATTTCATTTAGAGTGTTTGTGATTAACTTTTGATCTTTGTACTAATACGTGTTTAATGAAGATTTTCGTGCATGCTTCGATGAATTCTTAATTGACAATTATTTCTACATCATTTGCATATGTTATTGTTCCTACTTCATCCTCTCAGTTTTTATCTATGTGTACACTTACTTGTCTCCTTTTTATCATCTTTCTTTTCCACATATTATAAGTTTTTGAAAAATTTGTTGTATTATAGACTCTGTGTCAATGTTCCTCAGTACTTTACCACCTATATAGATTCATCAATGGGATTATATAAATATGATAGGGATTCTCCATGTTTCTTTTGTTTTTTGAGTCTAAGAAAGAATCTTATTCTATGAATGTGATCAGGTGACTTTTGACTAACTCATTTGGAGTCGCCTTATTAAAAGATTAATTTGAACATACACAAAATGTACTGAATTAGAGATGCTTGGTTGACTCTCTTACCATAATTCAAGATCAAGATTGTTAAAGAAAAAATAAAATTTCTTCTTTTTTCTTAAGCTATATGCCAAGGAGATAAATATAACATGTTGATTAAATATATTTGGAAAATTTGTCTTTTTTGAAAGGTGGACCGTTTTTATTTTGATTTTCTTAATAGCTTGTAATTATTAGAAATTATCTATCACTGTTTTTATAAAATTAGCAACAAATTATGCATTTTTCCAAATTTTTATTGTTCTTTATTTTAAATCTCTCATTTACATCAAAGTATGTAATAACATTTGAAAAATAAAATAAATTAAATTTGAACTAAAATTTTGAATTTCTTCTATTTTTACCTTATAAGTTTGATACCATAAAATACATACTATTATGAAATTAAACAATAAGAAATTGTAAAATTAGGGTAGGAATGTACTACTAAACTGGAATTTCCTAATTCAAATCCAAGTCTTTGCTTTTACTTGTTAAAATAAGATCTTAAATAAATAGAAATATGTTCATTGAGGAGGTGGAATAACAATATTTGCATGCGTTGTTAGCCTCATGAATTGAGGATTGGATTCAATCAGAGAAGTATAAAAGTGAGGTGAACTGAAGAGTCAAGCTGTGAATGAATAATAGGTAAGATAATTAGCATCTCTTGAAAGATAAGTAGAATTTTGAAGATCTTTTTAGAAAATGGAGAAAGGACAAGTAGATTATACTAGCGATTAGAGAAAGGACAAATAGGCTATAAGTTAGAATTATAAGAAGAGAGTAGCAAAGAAGACTATTTTTACTAGAGAGCTTAAATTTAATTTTCTTCCTCAAATTGAAATAAATAGAGATAGTTGCAAACAATAAAGAAATTCCCTAAATATATTTTCTAAATTAATTTATGAGCTTCCCAACTTATAATTAAGTTAATGAGAATAAAGTTTTGGGTGGGTATAATATAGGAATATCAGAATGAGATTAAGAGACTTCAAATATCAATTGCGACTGATTAGAATATGCAACGAAATTGATAAAATTATCACCTTTTGTAATAATTCTTCTAAATGCATCTTAAGTTTGAGAATATAATGTAATCTTAAAATAAGATTTAAGGGATTAGTTAATTCTTTTCTAAGTTGCAGAAAGCAGTGCATCTAAGAGGTTGTATTTATGCTAGATTTCAAAGAACAAAATTTGTGTCATTGATGATCGGTGATTCTTATGAGATAAAATAAGCTGATAATACATAACTGGATCAAATTGATTATTCCCTTACTATTTCCATAACTCTAAAGCATAATTTATGTTTAAATAACTTCAAAATTTATTCTCCTGATAGTCTATTAATTAAAAAGTCTAAAGAGAAAAGTACAGATTTTCTATCTAATAAAATTAACATTCAAGAATTATGGATATATTGATGAAATTAATAAAATCTATTGAAAATTATAACATTCTAGAATTAAACAACAGTAAATACACAATATTTTATTAATTAAGTAATATTATCAAATTATTAATCAACGTACAGCTGCTTCTTCATCACAATATATTTAATTAAATTACATATTATAATATATAATTCGATTCAGATATAATACTTGTTGGTAAGTCAAACTATTTGATAAAAGATTGAATTATATTACATTAATTTTACTGGTAATGTTAATCATCATCATCTCTTCTTGTAATAGGTCTATTTGTGAGATATCCATAAGTTACAGATTAGTTTATGCCACTAGAACAAAAGGTATTCTTTCTTCATTCACTAAACCTATCTTATTGATCAACAAAAGATAAAATTTATATTGATGACTGCATAATTTAATTGTATCTTTCAGTATGTTAATTTTAATTATTCCTTTTTAAATTCTCCATCTGACCGTCTTATCCCTCATACATATTACTCACTAATTAGAAACTAATTATAATCAGGTATCTTTCAAAGTTGAATGTATTCACTCAACTAAGTATAACTGTCATATATTCTCAATTCCTCAATCTTCTTAATAAAGATTTACTATGTTGATCTTCTTCATTTAGTTTCGATAATCTCTTACCATAGAGTCCTCCTATTTATTACATCATTTTCCAGCAAACCAATAACTATCATCACTAAAAGCATCTTCATTTTTTTATATTTAAAATTCTCCTCTGTCCCCTATATCTTTGTTTCTTCCTCTAATTTAAAGCTAAAGCTCTCTCCAATTTTATGTAATAGTTGAAATTCTTGAGTGTACTGGATAAGCAATCAGTAGATTTGAGTTTATTATAATTAATATTTAGTTACCCATTTACCATAAGTGCCATCTTCTTCTTGTTGAAATAATCTTAAACATATTCAAACAGCATAACTGGCTTGCATTAAACTTGAGGTTCTTTTTATTTGATCCAAAATATTGGATAATTTGAACACTTCATAACCTTATGCATCAAGTAACTATTGAACTAAATGCAGCGTAAACTAGAATATTTGATGCCTTTGCTTGTACTTCTAATGTGTACTATGTTATATGCTGTGAAAACGCTAGCGATGTATTTTAAAAATATCAATAAATATGTTTAAAATTGATAGTTTAATGTTGCAATTGTGCTACAATACTGCAGATCTGCAATTTACTACATTTTTTTGGATGAAATATTTGCTAATTGATGTTGAACCCTTACCATTCAGTCTTATACAAAAAGCAAACGACCTTGAAATTCAACTGCTTAATTTAATTATCAATGTGATGCTATTTGTCTCTGGTTTCAAGGGATATGAAGCATCTTAAACTCTTTAATAAAACTCAGGTTGCCAATTTCCTTTACCTTGTGCGGAGAGTGTATGGAACACTTGCAATTACTGTTCATTATCGCATCAATTTTGATATAATTTGTTTCGCGAAATTAATCATCAACAATAGTGTTTATGCAAATTAAACAAAAAATTTTAACTTTTTCACTTCCTTATATCATTTACCCATCGATTCTTCATTAACTTGATAAACATCTTT